AAAGTACTTGTTCCATTGATTGAAGTAATCCAGTCACCACTTTCCAACACATCTAAAGCATTTTGCATGCCACCCACAATCCAGTAGTAGTATGGTGGAATTCTGTCAGGATCCTAATAATAATAAAAGAAAATATTTGTTATCGTTCATTGTTAAATATATAGTTTCTTTTTGCATGGTAACAGCATACTGTGCCTGTCAGTTTTTTTTTCCAGTTATACACAATGCTGTTTTAATAATAAAACCTTTGTTTACAGGTATGCAATGCTTTGAGATATATGAAATGAAATGACGTCCACAAACATTTTTGACTTAATATATAGGCTAATAAATTAGTACATAAAAGATTTACATTCAAAACTTAAGTCTTGATCACATGCTTTTTTCTTTCAAAATGAAACAAAGACTGAATGAAGTTAAAAAGTATACTTAAAATTTCACTCGTCAGACAGCGTAACTAAATTTTTAGTTTATCTTACTTCTTCAAAAAACGGAAATGTTTATAGACGTAGTGCAGTCTCTCGGGAGTATCCCCCAAAAGAGCGTTGCGTGACGAACCCAATAAACCTCTGAATCAGGCTTCGTTCTGAGGCCTTTACACGTATCCGCATAAAATGTTTCGTTTCAAAATGAAAGCCGACAAAAGAAACATTGACAAAATGACAAATAATTAATTCCTAGTTTTTTGGAAACACTTCCAGACCACTGGATATCTGGGTAAAACGCTTTCTTTTCAGTTTTCAATTTTCGTCTATTCGCAGACGGCCAAAGCTCAGTATGTTACGCAACGAACGATTTTGATACAGATTTTGCATGGGAAACTCACGCTGTTAATTATTACATTTAAGAAATAGAAAACATGTACCGTGTTTCTATCGAGTTTAGTATAAATCTACTAGCATTCTATCACGAATGCCGTTCGCTACCCACTAGACTGTGAGCTCGAGATTTCTAATTCGAATTGGCACCCGGGACGCTTATTTAAAATTTAGGAGACGACGGGGGCGTTTATTCGAGGAGCGGGGGTGGGGGGAAGGGGCGCTTATTTAATTTTTCCCAAATCGTGGCCTGACGTGATCATTTTTTTAAATACTTCATCTACGCGTAAACACCTACATAAGCTGTTTATTGACAAAAAGCTGATCCTAAAGTTTAAATCGCGGCACCGTTAGTACCTAACGTGTTCACAAACTGAAACAATGTACAAATTTAATACTAAATGACGAAAACTAGACATCTTTTGTTGTCTCATTACTCGTCCACAAAATGAGGGGGGAGAAGAAGGGGGCACTTATTCGAGGGGGGCGCTTATTTTAAATTTCGGCCGATAGGAGGGGCATTCGAAGGGGGCGCTAATTCGAGGATTTACGGTATACTAATCTGCGATAGATAGTGAGAAGCGTAGCAGTGTGCCCACGTTAACAAAATGACGGCCTCTTCTTGGCATTTTCGAAGTGTCTGTGAAGAAGATTTATATAAAGTTTTGAACGACTAGTAGATTTATACTAAAACAATTAGATTATTCGCCGTCGATTTCCATCGCGTGATAGTTGACTCGGGCGTACTCAGCGCCCTCGCCAACTATCACGCGATAGAAATCGACGGCGAATGATCTAACTGTTAAATAGAAACACGAGTGAAAGTTTGGGAGAACGAGAAATGCTGCGGGAACACGAGCCGTTAGGCCGCGACGAATAAAACAAAAATAACTTGTTTACTTTGATCATCAAAATGTAAATTCTCTTTGCTCGCGCCATCATTACGTCAACAGCTTGTTCTAGTTGTATAGAACCACGATTTTAAACCAATCAGCGTGCGTACTGTCTTTGGGGTATTTTCTAGCATATTTAGGTCACACACAACGCTCGTTGCGTAACACTATAGGTTTACTGCATGTGATTTCTTTGATGGGAATACAAGCCGATCCCTCCCGTGGGTAGCCTGTGGTATTTTTCGCTTGTCGGTGTGCATGGTCTTTCCTCGAACTAGTGCGTTGCCACGTGTTTGGCTCCGTTATTTAGTTTGTCAGATTTCTGCTGGATCGTAATTGTCTTGGTTTTTGTTTTGTTTAGTTTTGCTTTGTTTTTTACTGAAGCGGGTTTCGTAATTTTGTTAACACTGGTTATCTGAATAAAACAGAAGACCGAAGATTAAGCCTAAGTACTGATGATTTACAGAAATTCTTTACCATTATCCCTTGAAGAAGCACTTGAGATAATGTAAGAACTGAAAACAAATTATTCGGTGAATAAAACAGAAGACCGAAGATTAAGCCTAATAACTGATGATTTACCGAAATTCTTTACCATTAACCCTTGAAGAAGCACTTGAGATAATTTAAGAACTGAAAATAGATTATTCGGAGGACTCGAGTACTCCCTTAAGGAATAAGAATAAGAGAATTTCTTCCATTTACTACCAGTAAAGGGCTTAATGGTTCTTTACACACTTCCGGAAACGTGACCCGGTTCACGAAGGCTTCAATGTCGGTAAAAACTATACTAAAGGGACTATTGCTTCTCAGGTTAGCTTTACACCCGAGTTACGCGAGGATGATCGAGCGAGAACTCCAGAAATATAAATGTATTTCTGAAGTTCTCGCAAGATCATCCTCGCGTGACTCGGGTAGTGCGGAGCGACAAGCATAATTAAAATCATCGCAAATAAGACAAGGGGCGATCAAAAGACTGCAGGAAATTAGATGGCTTTATGAAGTCTATGAAAAGTTTATGGGCCAGAGTGGATTCTCCATGCATTGTGCATGGGTTAAAAATTTCCCAAAGAAACCATGCATGAACATCAACCTTATCATATAACTGACGTCTGTAACTGAAAGTTACCAAACTGTTATTGAATACAGTAAACGGAATTTGTAATGGCATGTCATGGTTGAAACTTACCATTTGCACTGTAATAGAGCAATTAAGGCGACGAATTTCCTGGATTATTTCTGGGCCAAACGTTGTTAGCTCGGGATAGTAGCAGGCATTGTGCACTCGGGGTGACTTCCTGTCTTCATCTGAGGCCTCACTTGCCATATTTTATAAATAAGAGCAGTTAGCAATATAAAAGGTGCGAAAGAGAAGAATATCGTGGAATTCGTTTGCTCATATGAGCACACATTTCATGATTTGCATATTGACGCAAAGAACAATTGTGAGAGATCATTTGCATATCGAAAATTGGGGGCAACCCCCTGTCATGGATCACCCCCTGTCAATCACAGAGAGTATCAATCAGATCTAAATCTGGATCTAACTTGTCCCCAGTCGTCTTTCGATATTTTGGTTTCCAGTGACCAGTGGGGCAAATCGTTTGTCACCAAGGCGTTCAAGCAACAGACCTTATCACGGTTTTGGAAGTCATCTTGACGGGTAGGCAACACGCCTTAGAAATTACGGTGTTTGCATGGAAATTAGTCCCTTTTGGTTCGTCAAGCATTCTGTCCTGCCAAAGGAACGCCGTTCGTCGGTGTTCGTTGCGTGACGAACCATAAGAACGACTGTGTAGGAGGCTATCTTTATAGAGGACCACAAGTTCATTAGTTTTTAACTATTAAGGTATCAGTAGGGGGAAAATTTGCAATTTTGCATAATTTTACTTTTTTAAGCGGTTGGATAAATTAAGATAAAAAAAAAAAACTCCACGAAAAAATCTTATATCTGCCGCTAGTTATTGCGCGAGAAAGATTGTTTTGCATATTAATTACTTAATTGAGAGTTGACAAATTCTGTCAAATGAATTAATTATCGAGGCAAGAAGTCACATGACATCAAGATCATGCTGAGTTGACACGCGATTCGCGCGCCATAATCAGTGGCGGATGT